AGAAAGTTTTTAGAAATGGTTAATATTGCAATTTAAAGAGCTTATTGTTTACGTTTCGACACTAATTAGTGCCATTATTTTTTTCTAGTTATCCAATGACAAAGAAATCCTCCGTGAACAACTATCAATATTCTGACGGATTTAATGATGTTCATAATGTATTTATCGACATTATGTTGGTTATTTTGGGCACAAAGGACCCTATGGCATACACTAGTTCCCAAAATATCCAAAATATTATTGTGGGTTCCAGATATCGAGTCCATCGATTTTGAAAGTGTATTTACTGACGAAACGTGAGTAAAAAAAATAGAACGTAGAAAATATTTTTGGGTGGTCCCTTATATGGATGTTTTTGGATATTTCCTAGCTCCCAGGGTCTCAAATGCTTCCAAATTGATACGAAAATATTCTCTGAAAGTTTCAGCTCTTAATATTAACTTTTAGATAGTTCGCATTTCAATCAAAGTTTTGTAAATTTATTAATATCAAGTAGTAAATTCTTTACCCATCTGTGATAGAATTTATAAACTCAAATCAAGAAGTAAATAAATATTTTGCTGCAAAATTAATCTTGATGCCATAAATATTTAGTTAAACAGCTCACTTAAGTGATTAATAATTTGGAATTCTGATATATCGAGTTCTTGATTTTCTTCAAAAGATCCCATTTTTATTATGACGATTCGATTGCTGAATGTAAAATTGTGATACAACTGAAAAAATATATATATAAATATAATATATATATATATATATATATATATATATAATGAGCAGATTTTCTTCAAAAGATCCCATTTTTATTATGACGATTCGATTGCTGAATGTAAAATTGTGATACAACTGAAAAAAATAATAAATTATATATATATATATATATATATATATATAAATATATATATATATATATATATATATATATAATGAGCAGAACTATTTTTAAAATAATTAAAACTTTCAACTGCATACATTAACAATAACCATTTTTTTGTTAATGTAATCTAATGAGAAATTTGTAAATATCTGGAAAGTTTGTTACAATACTCATCGATTTTAGTATTTGGTGTCATAATAGACATATTGAGAAATAACATATTAAAATTACAACATTGTGGAATAAGCAAAACTATTTTTAAAAAATTAAATTTTTCTTAGTCTCTTTATAAATAAATTACAACTTTCTTTGTAATTTGTAAAGATAACCTACTCACGTAATTATAAATATCAGGAAAATTTGTTAGAAGATTCATCGATTTTAGTATTTGGTGTCATAATAGACATATTGAAGAAATAACATATTGCAATTACAATATATAGGAACAAGCAAAACTATTTTTAAAAAATTAAAACTTTCTTCAGCATGCATTAAGAATAACCCTTTCTCTTTCCATCCATCTATAACTCTTTTATGAGAAGTTGTTAATGTAACATATACGTATTATTTTAAATATCCTAAAAATTTGTTAGGAGACTCATCGATTTTGGTATTTGGTGTCATAAAAGACATATTAAAGAATAACATATTAAAATCACAATATTCTAGAACAAGCAGAAGTATTTTTAAAAAAATTAAAACTTTCTTAGTTTCTGCAATTTACAGCTTTCTTTGTAGTTAATGTTACCTACTCGTATTATTGTAAATATCTGGAAAATTTTTTAGAAAGCTCATCGATTTTAGTATTTAGTGTCATCGTATTATTATTATTTTAAATATCCTAAAAATTTGTTAGAAGACTCATCGATTTTGGTATTTGGTGTCATAAAAGACATATTGAAGAATAACATATTGAAATTACAATATTCTAGAACAAGCAGAAGTATTTAAAAAAAATTCTTAGTCTCTGCAATTTACAACTTTCTTTGTAGTTAATGTTACCTACTCATGTTATTTTAAATATCTGGAAAATTTGTTAGAAGACTCATCGATTTTAGTATTTGGTGTCATAATAGATATATCAAGAAATAACATATTAAAATTACAATATCCTGGAACGAGCAAAAGTATTTTTAAAAAAATTAGAACTTTCTACAGCATGCATTAACAATAACCTTTTCTTCTGACCTTTATTCTTTAGTAGCAATAAATACAAAATTCGGGACATTTTTTTTTCTCAAATAACTCAAAAATTTTATATCGAACTATCCATTTTCAATTAGATAGGGTGAAACTAGATAAAATTTACATTTCCTATGGAACACTTTTATACATCCCAATATAAATGTTTTGAATAAAACGATTTTGAATTCGATATTTCATTCTTTAGTAGCAATAAATATAGAAAATTCGGGACATTTTTGTGTTTTTTGTCAAATAACTCAAAAATTTTATATGGAACCACCACTAAATTTTTATTTTTTCCAAGGTTAATCGATTACCTAAACAATTCCCTGTTACCATCTCTGTTCTCCGAAGAATGGTACCAAGGTCACCAATTTCGTGGTTTTGGCTGGACACCAGATTATGGTTCCAAATTATTGGGAGTTCCTCGATTAAGACAACTCAGAGTCAGAAATGATTCTTGTGTGGTTCCTGAAGTTATGCAAAAATTCACTAAAGGTAATAAAAACATCATTCATAACTAGTATGGCATTGTGCCTTAAGGCAAATTGCTGGAACTTCCCGTACCGTAATGAAATATTCGAGAAATTTTAAACGTTTTCAAATATATCATTACAAATACTGTAACTTTCATTATTTTTGCTATCTTGTTTCTTATATCTGAGCAAATCAAATGTAAATCATAAATCAATTTATCTCCCGAGCATTAACAATCGTCATTTCATTTCGAATTCAATTTCCAAAAAAAATAGTTGCTTAATTTACACAAAATTGAAAAAGTGCTCCCGTATAGTCACAGTCTAAACGCATTTGCAAATAATTCTGTGCGACATTTTCACTTATACTGTGCTAAGCTTGGCGGCATTTTTACATTTTTCAATAGTTTTCTACGGGAAGTTAATAATCGAATGCTAAGAGCAACAAATTTTATAAATCATTTTGTTTGAAGTACTGGGGGATGGTGTAGGTTTTAGTTGTTTTGAAGTACACTGAGTTGCTGTAGGGTCATATGATGTTAGAAAAGTTTATGCACAATTTAATTTTGTACAAATTTGTTGAATATTTTATGTATTTTGAACAAACCGTTTAAAAGTCACAAAGGGCTTAATAACACGACGCATTATGTCGTCAATTTTCATCCAACAAAGTAGTACATCAAAAAGTAGTAAAAAAATTAGTCTTCGTAGCTATCATAAAAGAGATGCATGTAAACTTTCTCTAAATTTTCAATAAAGAAATATTGTTTTCACAATTTCACTTATCGTGTAATTGTGTTTGTAGAACTTCATGTAATTGAAATTAACATACGTTTATTGACTGCTTGTTTGTTTTGACTATTTCGCTGGCGATACAGTTTCATTCTTTGAGCAACTGTAGTATCTGTCTTGCCTATAAAAATATTTTTCATTTTAGTAATAACCTCAAAGATATATAGTAACCTCAAAAAACTCGAATGATACAAATTACTTCAATTAACTTACATTTTTTACGCAGCTCAGATTTTTCATATGTTTCATTATTTGCACTACAATTATTTGTGGGGGACGGGATAAAATATTCTTCCGATCATGACATTTTTCATTAACTCACGATTTATACTACTTAAAATTTAATGACATGAAACACCGAAAAATGAACAATATGCTTCACGCTTTCGGTGACGTACGCACGTATAAAGTCACACATACCAAGAAGCCTTGCACAAATACGACCAATCAGAATCGACCCGTATAGGAATCATATCATCGAGAGCGAATGACTTTCACTTGACCTTGCCGTAACAATTTTCGTTGCATTTGTACGGATTTACACCCATGTCGCGCCTAAAGAAGTTTTACTTAAAAATTGTATTTAATGTTTCAGAATGCTACAATTCTTTCTCGATATCCTTCATGGACACACAGACCTACAGTCCAAGTTGGAAGTCTTTTTTGGACAGCAAATGGAACAAAATCAACCACAGAGTCGTTGGTCCTTGGGAGTACCGGGATACGTTTCATTCTTCATCTTTACCAATTTTAGGTAATATTTAGAACTTCAATATATATATATATATATATATATATATATATATATATATATATATATATATATATATATGAAGTCTCATTACATTATCCTTTACCAGGTGATGACATCCTATATCCAGCTGGTGGCTACATATCACCACTTGGACGTACTTTATCAAATTCTAGGACAATACTAAATTTTTTGGTGGAATCTTCTTGGTTGGACCAACAAACCAGGGTTGTGTTCATCGAGATGGCTTTCTATAATGTCAACCAGAATTTATTCAGTGTTGTCACACTTTTGGCAGAACGATTTGCTGTTGGAAGTTATTTGACCAGCTGGAAGGTAAAGAAATAATAGATAAAGTTTTAAATGTTCTCTCAAAAACTCGATTTGTATTTTCTGCACTCTTTGCTCTTTATCTCCGAAACGGTTGGACCTGCCTTTGCCAAAAACTAATCAGCACATCTCCCTATCAATAGGAATCGAATGGTAAATGAATCATTCTAATCAGTTGATTCGTGCGCCGGAAAACGTGGATGAAAAAATGCGGACATACAAAACACACACACATCCATTTTTTTGTGGTATGCCAAAATGTTCAGAAACCTTCAAAACGTCGAGAAATGCAAAAATTTTCAATTTCGATTTTTGGACGATTACAATAACTTACCCTACGGGAATTTAATAAAGAACCAATAAAGTGATATAATAAGTAACAATAAATGAATATAATGTGATGTTTACTGTTTATTTCATACTATTCCTACATTCTTTTACATTGAAGAATATTTTATAACTTTTTTCCTAACAATTAAATTCAATTTAAGAAACAATTTATATTTCATTGATTATTATTACATTTTCGACTATAAATTGTCATGTTTTCAAATAATTCAATTGAGTAAATTCCTTATTGAATGCTTCATATTTTCAAGGATGCTTTCTATGATAAATCAGCATATGTCTTTGCAGAAGACTCAATTGTGTGAATTTATTATTACAAATAATGCATTCATCGAGATGAATTCAATTGTGAATTTTCATGTGACGTTTGAGATTACCTAACACCGTGAATGTCTTATTACAAACATTGCATTCATTGCGGGGTACTGCATTGTGAATTTGCATGTGACATTTCAAACCACTCGATTCTGTGAAAGTCTTATTACAAACATCGCATTGATGGGGGCGTATTCCTTTATGAACCAGCATGTGTTTTTTCAGAGAACCTGATTGTGTGAAAGTCTTATTACATACATCACATTGATGGGGGCGTATTCCTTTGTGAATCAGCATGTGTTTTTCCAGATTACTTGATTGTGTGAATGTTTTATTACATACATCGCATTGATGGGGGCGTATTCCTTTGTGAATCAGCATGTGTTTATTCAGATTACCTGATTGTGTGAATGTTTTATTGCATATACTACAAACGTAGGGGTTCTCACCAATGTGAATCAGCATGTGTTTTTTCAGATAATCTGATTGTATGAAAGTCTTATTACAAACATCGCATTGATGGGGTCGTATTCCTTTGTGAATGATCATGTGTTTATTCAGATGACTTGATTGTGTGAATGTCTTATTACATACATCACATTGATGGGGGCGTATTCCTTTGTGAATCAGCATGTGTTTATCCAGATTACCTGATTGTCTGAAAGTCTTGTTGCATATAAGGCATTTATGGGGGCGCTCACCAATGTGAATGAGCATGTGTCTTTTCAGAGAATCTGATTGTGTGAAAGTCTTATTACAAACATCGCATTGATGGGGTCGTATTCCTTTGTGAATCAGCATGTGAGTTTTCAGATAACCTTTATGTTTGATAGTCTTATGACAGATTTCGCATTTGAACGTTTCTTTGCTATTACTAGGCTTGTGATCGACCATATGCTCTTTTAATTGATCAGATTCTGCAAATGATTGATTACAAATGTCACATTCATAAGCTGATGTCTCAACTAGCTCCTGTTTGACTTCTTCTTCGATAGTCACTTCAGAGTTCATGAATCTTTCTAAACAGGTTTCATCATCCGCAGAACACGATTCAGATTTAACAATATCATCAGAAACATCAATATCATCCTGAATTTCGTGTTTAATGTCTTCATAAGCTGATGTCTCAACTAGCTCCTGTTTGACTTCTTCTTCGATAGTCACTTCAGAGTTCATAAATCTTTCTAAACAGGTTTCATCATCCGCAGAACACGATTCAGATTTAACAATATCATCAGAAACATCAATATCATCCTGAATTTCGTGTTTAATGTCTTCATAAGCTGATGTCTCAACTAGCTCCTGTTTGACTTCTTCTTCGATAGTCACTTCAGAGTTCATAAATCTTTCTAAACAGGTTTCATCATCCGCAGAACACGATTCAGATTTAACAATATCATCAGAAACATCAATATCATCCTGAATTTCGTGTTTAATGTCTTCATAAGCTGATGTCTCAACTAGCTCCTGTTTGACTTCTTCTTCGATAGTCACTTCAGAGTTCATAAATCTTTCTAAACAGGTTTCATCATCCGCAGAACACGATTCAGATTTAACAATATCATCAGAAACATCAATATCATCCTGAATTTCGTGTTTAATGTCTTCATAAGCTGATGTCTCAACTAGCTCCTGTTTGACTTCTTCTTCGATAGTCACTTCAGAGTTCATAAATCTTTCTAAACAGGTTTCATCATCCGCAGAACACGATTCAGATTTAACAATATCATCAGAAACATCAATATCATCCTGAATTTCGTGTTTAATGTCTTCATAAGCTGATGTCTCAACTAGCTCCTGTTTGACTTCTTCTTCGATAGTCACTTCAGAGTTCATAAATCTTTCTAAACAGGTTTCATCATCCGCAGAACACGATTCAGATTTAACAATATCATCAGAAACATCAATATCATCCTGAATTTCGTGTTTAATGTCTTCATAAGCTGATGTCTCAACTAGCTCCTGTTTGACTTCTTCTTCGATAGTCACTTCAGAGTTCATAAATCTTTCTAAACAGGTTTCATCATCCGCAGAACACGATTCAGATTTAACAATATCATCAGAAACATCAATATCATCCTGAATTTCGTGTTTAATGTCTTCTTCTGAATATTCGGGTGGTTCAATTTTAATTGCCGGATCATTCATTGACATAATTGTTTCTTCTGACATTTTTAAATATTTTAACTGCTTGTACTCACTTACGAAATAATTGAAATGATTCCAAAATAGGTGTGGGCTAAATAATAATGTAGTTTAATCAACAATCCATAACTGATTTCAACTTACAATTTAAATTTATTATTTGACATTTGGAGCATAGATAGATACTTACACAAAGATGAGACTCTTCTCACATCGCTTTCACATTTAACAATGGCGCGCATTTTCAAATTCATTATGTTTCTCTGTGTCTAAACTATTTTATTAAATAATATTAATTTTACAAACGTTTTGAGACTAGGTTTGTCTCATCATCGGTGTATTATAATTTAAAATTTTAAGACCATTTAAATAAAATTCTCAACAGCAGAAATACAGAATTAAATACGAAAAATATAATATAAACCAATAGAAAGTATACACAAATAAAATGTAATAAAAAATTAAATAAATAAATAGAAAATCCCATAGATAGATACATAGATAAATAGATAATAAGATAACTTTACTAGAAAAATAACTAGTTAAATACATAGATAAATATATAACTAATTTGTTTATATGTGTATTTATCTACTTATTTAGTTATATATTATTCTATGTATTTAACTAGTTATTTTTCTAGTTAGTTATCTTATTATCTATATATCTATTTATGCAATTTTCTATTTATTTATTTAATTTTTTATTTATTACAATTTATTTATGTACACTTTCTATTGGTTTATATTTTTTGTATTTAAATATGTTTTTCTGCTGCTGGAAATTTTATTTGAATGGTCTTAAAATTTTAAATTTTACGTTTGTAAAATTAATATTATTTAATAAAATAGTTTAGACACAGAGAAACATAATGAATTTGAAAATGCGCGTCATTGTTAAATGTGAAAGCGATATGAGAAGAGTCTCATCTTTGTGTAAGTAAACTCTATGCTCCAAGTGTCAAATAATAAATTTAATTTGTAAGTTGAAATCAGTTATGGATTGTTGATTAAACTAGATTATCATTTAGCCCACACCTATTTTGGAATTATTTCAATTATTTCGTGAGTGAGTATAACCAGTTAAAATATTTAAAATGTCAGAAGAAACAATTATGTCAATGAATGATCCGGCGATTAAACTTGAACCACCCGAATATTCAGAAGAAGACATTAAACACGAAATTCAGGATGATATTGATGTTTCTGATGATATTGTTAAATCTGAATCGTGTTCTGCGGATGATGAAACCTGTTTAGAAAGATTTATGAACTCTGAAGTGACAATCGAAGAAGAAGTCAAACAGGAGCTAGTTGAGACATCAGTTTATGAATGTGACATTTGTAATCAATCATTTGCAGAATCTGATCAATTAAAAGAGCATATGGTCGATCACAAGCCTATTAATAGCAAGGAACGCCGTTTCAAATGCGAAATCTGTCATAAGACTTTCAAACCAAAACGTTGTCTGAAAATTCACATGCTTTTGCACAGTGGAGAACGCCCCTATAAATGCATTATATGCAACAAAGCTTTCAGACAATCAGGTGATCTGAAAAAACACATGCTCATTCACATTGGTGAGCGCCCCCATAAATGCAGTATATGCAATAAAACATTCACACAATCAAGTAATCTGAAACAACACATGCTGATTCACAATGGAATACGACCCCATCAATGCGATGTTTGTAATAAGACTTTCACACAATTAGGTTCTCTGAGAACTCACATGCTGATCCACAAAGGAATACGACCCCATCAATGCAATGTTTGTAATAAGACATTCACACGATCAAGTCATCTGAATACACACATGATCATTCACATTGGTGAACGCCCCTTCGTTTGTAGTGTATGCAATAAAACATTCACACAATCAGGTAATCTGGATAAACACATGCTGATTCACAAAGGAATACGCCCCCATCAATGCGATGTTTGTAATAAAACATTCACACAATCAAGTAATCTGGAAAAACACATGCTGATTCACAAAGGAATACGCCCCCATCAATGCGATGTTTGTAATAAAACATTCACACAATCAAGTAATCTGGAAAAACACATGCTGATTCACAAAGGAATACGCCCCCATCAATGCGATGTTTGTAATAAGACTTTCAGACAATCAGGTGATCTGAAAAAACACATGCTGATTCACAAAGGAATACGCCCCCATCAATGCGATGTTTGTAATAAGACTTTCAGACAATCAGGTGATCTGAAAAAACACATGCTAATTCACAAAGGAATACGACCCCATCAATGCAATGTTTGTAATAAGACATTCACGGTGTTAGGTAATCTCAAACGTCACATGAAACTTCACAATTGAATTCATCTCAATGAATGCATTATTTGTAATAATAAATTCACACATTTGAGTCTTCTGCAAAGACACATGCTGATTTATCGCAGAAAGCATCCTTGAAAATGAAGTAGTCAATAAGGAATTTACTCAATTGAATTTTTTGAAAACATTGCAATTTAGAGTCGAAAATGTAATAATAATCAATGAAATATAAATTGTTTCTTAAATTAAATTCAATTATTAGGAAAAAAATTATAAAATATTCTTCCATGTAAAAGAATGTAGGAATAGTATGAAATAAACAGTAAACATCACATTATATTCATTTATTGTTACTTATTATATCACTTTTTTTAAATTTTAAAATCTGTCCAAACCTCCCAGACTAACTTCTTTATTTTGCAGTTACAAACATTATTTAGAAAATCGATACATGAAATTTACCGTTATACATGGATATCGTATAATTGCATTTGATGTAAAAGTACAATTCTATCGTCAGAATTTACAAAAATCAGAAAACTTTGTGCATTTTTATAATGGTCTTTGGAGAGACAATACCATATTGTATACATTGCAATGTATTTAATATAAGTGTTTAAGTAAATTTCTTATTTAAGTGTGTTAAGTTTAATATATTAAGTGTGTTATAGTGTGTTACATTTCTATTTCTCATATAATTATTAATAATAGAACAAACAATGTGTTATAAGTGGTGCTAAATAAATATGTGCAAGGATGTCCAGACATTTCAATGAAAGTACCGCATGTTCTAAGTAATTTTTAATTATCTCAAGATATTTCAAATAAGTCAATATGCTGTTAAATTTGTTTAAAATTGAATAATCTACAACAATGTCTAACATCAAACTCTATTGTCATACAAATATTCATAAATATCATAAAACAAATTCATTAAAATTATTACAAATACTGTAACTTTCATTATTTTTGCTATCTTGTTACATCTGAACAAATCAAATGTAAATTATAAATCTCCAGAATTTATTTCCAGAACATTAACAATCGCCATTTCATTTCGAATTCAATTCCAAAAAAATAGTTTAGTTGCCTTAATTTACACAAAATTGAAAAAAAATTCTGCTAGTATTGACAAAACAATTTGCTTTTGAAGATAAAAAAAAATTACATCTTTTTTTTTATTTTCCATAAAATATTTTTGTAATTTTGGATTCAAAAAAATCAAAAAATTACCCAGGCTAAGCACAGTCTAAGCACCACTCTGGTACAAATGTTTACCCAAGAGCGTTTAGACTGTTTATGTACTGGAGCACTTTTCCAATTTTGTGAAAACTGTTGAAAAATGTGAAAATGCCGCCAAGCTAAGCACAGTACAAGTGAAAATGTTGCACAGAATTATTCGCAAGTGCGTTTAGACTGTGACTATACGGGAGCACTTTTTCAATTTTGTGTAAATTAGGCAACTATTTTTTTTTAAATTGAATTTTAAATGAAATGACGATTGTTAATGTTCTGGAGATAAATTGATTTATTTATAATTTACATTTGATTTGCTCAGATATAACAAAATGGCAAAAATAATGAAAGTTACAGTATTTGTAATAATATACGTATTTGAAAACGTTTAAAATTTCTCGAATATGTTATTATGGTACGGCAAGTTCCAGCAATTTGCCTTAAGGCACGATGCCATACACCACTAGTTTTATTTTCAGATTGAAACAGTGAAGCTTCTGATCAACCAGGAACAAAAGAACACAACAGTAGTGATTTCTTTCATCTTGTTCCTAGCTTGTGCCTTAATTTTTGCAATAAAAACAATACTCCGAGTGAAACATTTGGGACTTCTGACTTATTTCAAAGAAGTTGGAATATCGTGGACATCCTCATAATCCTCCTAACAATTTCTTGTATGATCGTGTTTTTTATGAGAAGTTCCTACGTGATATCATTAATCCAGGAGCTGGACGAAAAGGATAATAATGAATTTGTGGCATTTTTTATTGCGTCTAATTTGGAACAATGGATGAACTACTTGTGTGCAACCTTGGTAAGTAGAATTGATAAATATAAATATAAATTATAAATATAAAGGTATATTTATAAATATAAATATATATATATATATATATATATAAATATATATATATATATATATATATTATATATATATATATACAGGGCCGTTCCTGGGGTCCTTAGCGCCCGCATGCAACTTTTTTTCTAGCGCCCCTCTCTCTATTAATTTTTACCGTTTTAACAGTTTATCATTAAAATTATATAAATATTTACATATTTTTTATAAATTAATTTTTAATTATTCTGGTTTTGGTACACAAAAATGAGATATAATCTAGAAGGGTATAAAATATATTGATTTTAAATTTATTTATTATTATCGATATCAATAAGTAAAACAATCCCTGTCACAATTTCACATTTTAGTAATATTCAATATGTAGTAAATTGGTTAAGGATGTAAGTTCGACTACCATAGCAAAAGAATTAATATTTCTGTTAGATTAAAGTTTTAGAATTTAAGAAATGCATTTCAGAAATAGTATTTATTATTTTGATATAAAGATCTTGATATCAAAATAATAAATACTATTTCTGAAATGCATTTCCTAAATTCTATAACTTTAATTCAACAAAAATATTAAGTGAAATGAATAAATTAATTTTTAATTATTCTGGATTTAGTGCACAAAAAATTAGATACAATCTAAAAGCGTATAAAATATATTGATTTTAAATTTATTTAGAAAATCGAGGCGATTCGGGGGTTGATTATAATCAAGTATTTTGAAATTTT